AAGAAGAAGAAGAAGAAGAAGAAGAAGAAGAAGAAGAAGAAGAAGAAGAAGAAAAAGAAGAAGAAGAAGAAGAAGAAGAAGAAAATGAATAGATTACATTCTTTTATAATATAGGAGACTATAAATGTAATTAATTATTTATTACAACTATCCTTATAAACCCTATAATAATTATAGTTCAGAAACATTCCCAGATTTCTGGGAAGCTTCAGTGCAAACTATCATTTTGATGACCCTCAAACACTTACACCTCCGCACTGACATATGATATTTCACTCTCTCTTCCCGAATACGCCCACTGGCCTACTTCAAGTGAGGAAATTCTATGTAAAGTGCTTTGGCAACATCTTTCACTGTCTTTTTCCAAGTACCTATTCTCACGGAGGTGAAATGAGAAAATGTAAAGTGCCTTGGCAACATTTTAACTGTCTCAAACGGCTACCCGTTCTTACCGAGATGACGTGAGCAACATCTATATTAATTATTTTAAACTGCCTTTGCCAAGGACATAACGTCATAACGTCCAGGTCAGATCGGGATTCAAGCTCAGACCTGTGTGTAAGTTGTAAGGCCACTTGACCAATGATTGCGGAGCCATTTTCATTGTGGCGTCGGTGGTTTAGTGGTAAGGCTCTCGGACTCGCAAACATGAGGTCAGCGGGCTCTCGTGGCCTAGAGGTTAGTTAATGGGTTCGCCTCTGCTCATTAAAAGGCCCCGGGTTCGAATCCGGGTTGTGATGGAAAATAATGTATTCTCTAAAATGGTCTTCTTTCATCTTATTTCCTGCTCTCTAGCAATGTTCTGTCGTCTGCTTACGTCTCCATTTTCTGTCCCTACCCCCTCACCCCCTTTGGCCCCTTCTCTTGGCATCTGACTCTTTCTGCAGCCTTTCTACTGCTACTCCTTGGCTCCTTCTTACAGCTGTCTTTCAGCCACACCCCTGATCTCCTGGTAAGAAAGATCTACACCTAGCCTTCTCGGACGAGGGCGAAAAATCTCGGAGGGCTCGTGTGCAAGTAATGCACTTTAAAGATCCCTTTGTGGTCTAAAATGGATAAGAGTAGGCTTCGGCCACCACACGGGCAAAATTCAAAATTTCCTAAGAACTAAAAATGTTTAATGTGTCCCGCGGTCTCATATGACCTTATGCAGTCGTGAGCGCCTTAAAACACTTACCGAAACAAACAAACAAAAAAACAACAAAAAAACATAAGGTCGTGGGTCCGAGTCCAGTTAGGAGCTCGACGTTGTGTGCTTGAGAAAGGCACTTTATACGAATTTTCCTCTCTTTACCCTGGTGGGAATGGGTACGCGGCTATAGACAGTGGAAGATCTTGTCTGTTTGTTATGTTAGTCTTTGAGCGCGTGAAATTCGAAGCTAGCACTGCATGCTTCCCGGGAGGCCGAGAAGGTTTTTGATTATTCTAAAGTATTTTGGGGTAATATTACTTGTAAAGTGCATCGAACATTCCGCGGAGCGTGGATATTATGATCTATTTAAAAGCAACTATAATTAGATCTATTATTATTCATGCACACAAAGCGGTGACGTGCATAGGAGGGGGCGGGGGTGGCAATGGTTGAGATAATAGCATAGAAATCGATTTCACTTTGTATCTGTATTTCTTATTTCTCTCTCTCTCTCTCTCTCTCTCTCTCTCTCTC